TATATCAAACCTTATGTTAAAAAACATTCCAAAAAAAGCTCTAGTTTTCTTAGTATACTTGTTTAATGCGATGTTCTTCCTTGCATATTTTCCTCAAAACTGGAAGACGGCGAACCTTATTTTTATTAAAAAACCAAAAAAGCTTGCCGAGAATCCATCAAGTTATAGACCCATTAGCCAGTTGAGTGCACTTGGTAAGATATCCGAAAAGTGCATTCAGCACCGTCTTAACCTCCACATTAATACTAATAACATTATCATAGATGAGCAGCACGGCTTTAGACCGGGCCTCTCTAAGGCCACAAAACTCACTCGCGTAGTAGATCATGTGACCAACATGTTCAACAAAAAAAACACACTGGGATGGTCCTCTTAGACATGGAGAAGGCCTTTGATTCGGTCTGGCAGGACGGTATAGTATACAGGCTCATTGAAATGAATTTCCCTGGATACCTTATAAAAATTGTCATGGCCTACTTAAAAAACCGATGTTTCCGTGTTTCCCTAAACAATGAAACTTCTAGACCTTTCCCAATTGCCGCCGGAGTTCCCCAAGGTTCAATCCTAGGGCCATACTTGTTTCTCCTTTTTACAAATCCACTCCCCTCACTGAGAAATAGCAAAATTGCGCTTTATGCGGATGACATTGCTGTCTATTGTTCATCCTGGAGACCAAAGACAATTGTGAAAAGCCGGACAGTTCAAACAATTGATTTTGTAGATTACGTCAGATTTATTTGTTATTGGTGTGGGATGTTTAATTTTGGAAAAAAAGTGTTTGAATTGTTTTATAATTTTTAAAGCTATTTTAAAGTTATCGGACGAGAGACATGTGTTTAATTTATGTGACAGGCCGTGAATGAATGGCATGGAAATGTATGTTGGTTTGTCTGTATTTGATAGATTTGATGTAGTATTATTAGTACAAGATGTTAGTGTTGAATTGTAGTTGTTGATTATTCTGTTGATTATGTGTTTAGGGTAGTGATTGTTATGGAGGATCTGTTTGTATTTTATGTTCTTTTGGTGAAATGATTCATGGCTTAGGGTAATCATTCTGTCAAGTAACCCTTTGGCCGTGTTTATTATTGTATGAAGAGGATGGTGAGATGTAAAGTTGAGGTAGCGATCTGTGTTTCTTGGTTTTTGATACCAATCTGTGATTGTTTTATTACTAGTGTATCTAAAAATGGTATTTTTTTGTTGTTTTCAATTTCATGTGTAAATTGTAGGCGTGGGTGAAAGCTATTAAATGTATCTAATGTAGTTTGAATTTCATCTGTGGGAACTGCTGTCAATATATCATCTACGTATTTAGTGAGGAAGGGTAATGTGAAAGGAAGTTGTGGTATGACTGTGTTTAATAGATGTGTCATAATTATGTCTGCAAGTATTGGGCCTAGGTTGCTACCCATGGCTATGCCAAATAGTTGTTTGTAAAATTGTTTGCTGTATGTAAGACTGTTCAAGTCTTCTATATTATGTAATAAAGATACCTAATAAATGCATATGTAACTGTTAAAAAAACTTCACTCTATCCTCAGTACTTTAACATTTTCCTTTATTAACATTCAGTATCTGAAATTTGATCGTTACCCATCACTTGGTCACAACCCTGCAAGGCAGACCAAAATTTGAGGTTCTTCTTGCCGACAATAGAAATCTAACAATTTCTAACCCATCTAGCAATTATAACCCTGAGTCCTTTAATAAATTCCTGTGTCCAGTTATGTGCCATTCAACTACACACTTGACTTTGGCAGAGCTAACTGGGCTAAGTTCAGATTAATTATTAACAGCACTGATTTAAATAGATTTATAATTTTTATGTTAAGAGTGGTTGAGATGAAAAATTAGTGTCACGAACGGGACTCGAACCCACGACTTCCGGCTATATACATACCATGGTGCTCTAACCACTCGAGCTATCATTTCTTCCCGCCACCCCAAACACTATCTGACCATCACAACACACAACTTTTTCAAGTTTTCTTCTTTTTAGCATGTATTCTAATTTCATGTAATTAGATTCGATTCTCGGCGACACATGAAGTAGCCAAGGGAAGGCTGTTAGCGAAGTACCGGTATCACTGGAATTATTATGTTAATACATATGTTTTTTAGTTAACCAAAGTAATGATTTAAAATTATTTATAATAATCAGATCTGATTTATATAATCAGAACCAATATCTGTTACCTCTGGGTGTTTTACAAGGTGGCCACATGTCGCCTTTGTTATTTAATATATTTATTAACGATATAGTTAAGTGTTTTACAAATAGTCAATTTAAGTTGTTCGCAGATGATCTCCAAGTATTTAAAATAATAAAATCTATTGAAGACTGTGAAATGTTACAACAAGACATAACTAATCTAGTTGGATGGTGTGATCTAAATTATGACTAAATATTGATAAATGCAATGTTGTCCATTCTCATAAGAAACTTAGCCCATTACAATTTAACTATAATGTCTGTGATATAGAACTAATAGCTTTAAATAATAGCAATATAATTTCATTTAAATGTATAAGTATTTTTATAATTATTTATAATTAGTTTAAAAAAATTCCTTTGTCGTTGGGATGATTATTCAATCAATAATTGAGGCGGTCTCTTTGAGGGTTTTAGATCCGTTTTTTCCCTGTTCTCACAGGTCTTCGCCCTTTTCAGGGGCCGACTCACTAACAATTGTCTAGAACTGCTTTCTATGTGATATAGGCTATAATCTGGCACAAACATGTTATGCATTTCATTATTTGCCGAGGTGGTGGAAATGGACCGGGACTGAAGGCCCCGGTAATCCTTCAAACGGCACCGCCTACCTCAGCGGGTTTTTCTCCCCCTCTGAGAGAATGGGTTTTGGTCTTGCAGAAATAAGAAGATTGGAATAAGTCTTCTTTTTTTCACTGGCCTACTCTCCATTTTAAGCGGTGATCGTATATCCCCGAAAAAGATCTCCCAGAATCGGCGGTATCTTCATATAGCTTTCTTATCCCTTCATTCTTATCCATTCTTACTTCTATATATATATAAGTTACGTGTGACGTGTGTTGACTAAACGAGAGTCTTTTTAAAAAGAACTTTATTAGTTAAACACAAGTTATAATTTGAGAAGAACCTTTCCTGTTCACGGATATGATTAATCTGAATCTGTCTTTACAAGTGTAAAAGGAATAGTGAACAGGGAAGGGTTTATTGCTTACAAACATTCTTCGAATCTGTACAGACGCAACATCATATGTCGCTGAACTAAGGGTTTTGTGCAGGCGTAACT